CAGGCTTCCTGCCGAGCAAGGAGCCCGATGTGGGACTCGATCCCAGGACCCTGGGATCATGACCTGAGCCGAAGGCAGACGCTTAACGACTGAGCCACTCAGGCGCCCCTCTTTTTTTTTTTTACACAAAAGTTTGCATGCTATTATACTGCCCTGCATTGTGGGTTTTTTTTTTTTTCACTTAATATACCTGGAGATTTCTCCCTATCAAAATCTAGAGAAAAATCCCCCTTCTCTTCTAGAGCTGCATAGTATTCCATTACAAATATATGCCACAGCTTATGTAAGCGGTGTCCAGTGGCGAGATACTTGGTCGTTTCCCTGTCTCGTGTTATTTCAAAGAATGCCCCAAGGGATCATCTTGTGCATAAATCACTTTGCATGTGTGCAGGTGCCTCTTTAGTCTATTTTTGCTTCTCCACGATCTGTGGTGAAGGAGCAGGTTTTACATTTCAATTTACAATCTGTCACAGATGGATACTTACATAAAATTCAATAAAAGTGAATTACTGGAGAAGTGAATTGACAAAAAACTAAGAAAACTACAAACCCCCAAATTTTATTAGATCCAATAGACATAAAAATTACTCTGTCACATTACCATAAAGGTTTTTAAACACTCCCTCTCAAGTCTCTGCGTTTATCCTACCACAGAGTCGTCACAGGTTGTGGATGGTCACTGATCCGTGGACCACACTTTGACTAGCACAGGTTAAGACTCCCAGAGATTAGGTCAAAGAGTACACGCCTCTGCCGTTTTGCCAGACTCCTCTCCGTGGTGGTTGTACCGTTCTGCACGGTGGTATCTATGAGCATGCCCCTTTTCCCAGAGCCTCGCCAAGAGGGTCATCTAACTTAGATTTTTGCTAAAGTGATAGGTGAACAGTGCTTACCTCTGTCTAAGTTTTAATTTGCGTTGCTCTTATTATATTTTTTAAAGATTTTATCCATTCGTTTGAGAGAGAAAGGACAGAGAGAGCACAAGCAAAGGGGAGAGGCAGAGGGAGAATCAGACTCCCCGCTGAGCAGGGAGCCCGATGCGGGCCTCAATCCCGGGACCCCAGGATCATGACCTGAGCTGAAGGCAGATGCTTAACCATCTGAGCCACCCAGGCACCCCTGTGTTGCTCTTATTATGAGTGAAAATGGGGTCATTCGTATTTTTAAGCCCCGTTTGTATTTATATTCTTTGCCCATTTTTCTAAAGGATTGTTGATCTTTTCCCTCTTGATCCCCAGGAATTATTTATATGTTAGGAATATTAGCCCTTTGTCTGTGATATGTATTGCAAATATTTTTTCCAGTTTGTCATTTACCTTTTTGATTTTGCTTGGTGTTCATTTCTGAGGGGAGAGGAGCCATGCAGAAGTTTGGGGTTTTATGTAGTCACATTTGTCAATATTTTCTTTAACAGCTTCTGGATTTTGAGTCATGGCTCTCTATTCCAAGGTCATAAAGAATTCTGCCCACATTTTCTTCAAGTATTTTTATGGTTTTATTCTTAACACTTAAATCTTGTATCCAGTTGGAATATTCCCTAGTACCAGGTGTGGGTTATGGATCCAAATTTATCTTTTTACAAATGGCTACCTGCTTGTCCCAGCTCCACTTATTAAAACCCCTAGGTACCACCTTTATCATTAAAACTAATTTTAAGCCATTTGGGATCATAATAGAAAAAGCTCTATAATTTGTCAGTTTTTATCCAGAATACCATTACAAGGGAAATTAGCTCTCAAGATATGATCTATAACTTTGTGTTACAAGAGCAAGGTAAACTGTAAGTCACATAAGTAAAACTATAAATTTATTTACGCCAACAAACCAGCCGAGCCCCGGGAAACTGCTCACAACCATGGAGGAAGCGGGGGAGCAGTGGGCGCGGTTGAAGGAGCGCGTGGCGAGGTTGAGTATTTGCCTTGCAGATCTTCCCCAGCCTGCTTCCAGGAGCTAGGACTGCAGAGGGGCCCAGCATGGTGTTCCCGGGACCCCTGGCTATCACCCTGTTGCCGCCCAGCCTCACACTGCTGGTGTTCCACCTGTCCTGCTCCACCGATGCCAGCAGTGAGCAGAAGCTGTGCGCCCTGAGGGAGCACCCCACTGTGGCCTTTGCAGGTGAGAGACGCTTCCCACTCGCTCCTGTTTCGTCGTGCCTGGGTCTTGAGGACTTAGGTCTGGACTCGGCAGGGTCTCCGGCTGTCGGAAGTCCCAGATGTTGCCCTGGGGATAGATGTAAGCAGGATGATGGGCAGCCATGGGCCGGAGGGCTCTGATTCGAGTCTCCAGTTTATTTAAGCTTTCATCCGTGTTCACCTGGGGGAGGAGGGCACCTTTCTCTGGGATTCCTGCTAGAAGTGGGGGTGTGGGTGCCCTGCGTGGAGTGGGCAAGGGTTTGTTGGCCATCTCAGCTCTAGCTCCTCTGGAAGCGTGAGCTCTGTTTCGTAGCTCCCCTGGGAGGCAGAATGGAGATGACTCACTCTTTGGAAGACTCAATCTCTGGAAACTTCCTGCTGCTCTAAGACAGTTGCAGGGATGCCTGTCTTCGGGGCCCTGGGAACCCACAGGGAAGGGGGCCTTGATGACTAATAACTCCCTTTGTCTGTCAAGGGAGGGCATGAGATGTCCTATTAAAGTATTTCCCAAACTGGGATTTGTGAATCACTGGACATATTCTGAGGGGCCTGTAAATTCTCAGTAAGAGTTTCTAAAATTAATATATATATTCGATGATAATCTAAATCCCAAACAAAACACAAATACTGGAGCATCCCGGATGTTCTCCCATGACCTTGTGGCCAGTTTGGGGCTCCCTGGTGGGACCATGATCACGTCAGCACTTCCGGATCCATCACCTGCACGGCAGGTCACACTGGAATCTGTGGATGTAGCTTCAGGGGTCCCCAGGTTCTTAAGTCTGATAAACACCTGCCGAATTTCTACATCACAATAACCCTGGCAGGGAGGTAGGGCAAGGATGGTCAATCTCCTTTAACAAATGCGAGGGCTGAGGTATAGAGGTTTGGAGAATCTTGTCAGGGGCAGGCCTTAACATCGGGCATCCAAGTGCTCTTTCTAGTCCCCCTGGCAGAGTGATGGGCACTCCACCTTCAGGTCCCCTGGGCAGGAGGATGAGAAGCCGTCCTCTGGGATTCCGCACAGCTAATCGAGAGGAGCAAGATGGAAACCAGAGCAGAAAAATAAATGCAAGACTCTGAGGCTGGCATGGGATTTGGGGGGCGGGAGGGGTGGTATGGATAGGAGTTGGGGGTGGCAAGGTGGGGAGGCTGGGGTGGTTTAGAAGTGTGGGATTCCCAGCTGTGGGCTGGCTCCTGTCTTGGGGAGGAGAATTTGCAGCTGTCTTCTGAGTTCAGTGCTGTCTTGTTTGAGCTGGGATCCAAGGCTTTGAAGGCTTAAGTGGATTAAAGTAAATTAGCAATGTCCTTAAGCCTACAAAACACGCGTACACTCTCAGACTTCTGATGGCTCCCAGAGTTCTGGTGGCTGTCACTGAAGGGAAGGATCAAGTAGGGGATGGAAGTGGTGGGATACTGGGGGCTGTCTTCTTGTTGGACGACCCGTGGCAGCTCCTGATGAACCATTTCCTCTCAGGGGACTTGCTAGGGGACACAGTTGGCCTGGCTGATTCTGGGGGCAGGGACAATGGAAGGAGAGCCTGGGAATCCTGTCCCGTCCCCCCCCCCGCCAGGCTAGTCTGTACTGGAGCGAACTGGGGAGGTAGTGGGGGGTAGTAGAGAGGTGGAAGGTGTGTTCCTTGAGTGCCTGGCTTCCTTGACACCACTTTTTTTTCCTTGACACCATTTTTAATCTGCAGGTGTGTATCACTTGAATGAAACTAATTTCCCACCCACCCTCTTTCTGAATGGAGGAATGAGGCTCCGATTGACATAGAGTAACTAAGGAATCCCCTTCGCCCCAGCAAGCAGAGATGGTCCATCATCCTAGACTGACAGCCCTGGAGAGAAGCATCATCTCTGCTTTTCCTCCCCAGCTTTCCTGGCCTGCCCTCAACCCACCCAGTTCTCTACTCTGACAGCTTTGAGTTTTCCTATCCATTCACCAAATTTTTTATTGAGCCCTACTTGACACCAGGGACAGAGCTGGGTGCTGTGGGACTTCAGAGGAGAGTGAGAGTTCACTTTGGGTACTCGAATATCTCTTGTTCCTTAGAGGTCACTCCCTTTGGTTCCCCAGCGCAGCTGGTCCTGGACCAGGACTGGATCTCTTGTCTCCTCACATCTTTCAGTACTGCTGAGCACACAACGAGGGACTCAATTCATGTTAGGTGACTGACTGTGTTCTGGGTGATGCTGCATTCCAGAGAAGTTGCCACATGACCCAGGCCAGTGCCAACCCCCAGCTTCCAGGATCCCCTCAGATGTTACATTTTATTTCTGACTGATCAGTAGGCTTCCAACCCTGTAGCTGTGAGCTTCCTTCTCCTCTGACACCTGACTGATCTGTGAGTAACCCCTAAATATCCTAGAGGAACTGCCGGTTGCAAAATCTGACAGGCATTTTTCCATTTCGTAAGGTTAAATTTTCTCCTACGGGTTTTTTTTAAGGGGGGGCCCACCTGTGTTTGTCTTTGGCCTGCACGTTCTTCCTCCTGTCACAGCATGGAATTTCTAGGAGGCAGGGAGAAGCCAGTATGGAGTTAACACTGACAGTGGTTAATCCACAAAGTGGGTAATTGAATTGACTATAATTAAAATCACAGGCGCGTCATGGAGAGCGTCATTTTTCTCTCAAAGTCGCCGTCCAAAGCCTTCACTGCACACGGAGCTCTCAGAACGTGCTTGGTGTTTTAAAGACAGCCTTCCCTCTGGTCCTGTTTGCCTGTTTAATAAGAGGAAGCTGGCTCCCTTCCCGAGACCGCTCCCCCAGGATCAATGTGCTGCACCCGCCTGCATCTCTCCCGCCTCGCCCCTTTACCCTTGCCCTTGTCGGTGGTCCCTTTGGGGCTAGGGGAGAGGGACAGAAACTGGAAGTGGCTGCCACCCTCCACTCCTACCCCTGCCCCTCCCTCCCATTGCCAGCCATCCCCCCTCCTGCCCTGTTTCGTCTTCCCTTCCCCTCCCTGCCCCAGGAAAGGGCCTGAGTGAAGACCGGGCTGAGCAGTCCCCAGACGGAGTTTCTCCTGGCTTGCTGCACACCAGTCACAGCCCTCTTCCCCTGTTCAGCTGTCCATATCTGGAAGATCCCCTTCAGAGGGGAAGAAGAGAACTGAAGTGTGACCCAGTTGCTACTGTTGGGGAGCACTCAGTCTGATGGGCAGGCAAGCCCCTCATATTCCCCCCCACACACACAGAAAACAGACTTGAGCACATTCAGAGTGACAAAAACATACAGTGTGAATGGAACAGACAAGGTAGAGAGAATATGGAACAAAATAAAATCAGGGTGGGAGATTATAATCCAGGAAATTTTCCTGGAGGAGGAGGACCCTTGGCTTAGTCTCTAAGGTAGTATACTATTCTGCCAGGATTTCTGAGGGTGGCCCCGAGGTCAACTAAAAACCCAGCCTACCCGACTCCAGATCTACTCCTTGTATCGATATTGCTCAGATGCCACTAACCTGTAGTCACCTGCTGAGGGCAGAGGCAGACCCAAGGGGTTTGCTACATTTTGCAGCAGAGTTTTTTTCTTCTTTTTTTTAAATCATGCATATCACAGTTTTCTGAAAAACATCCAGCTCACAAAACCTCGAGTTCTCCAGGGAGCAATTAAGTGTTTGCCTATCGTGCGGAAATGAAGGGCTGCTTTTACTCTGTAGTGGAGGGATAATGAGCAATGATTTATTTCCCTTGGATTACACACACACACACACACACACACACACACACACACACACACAATCCTCCGGACCTTCTGTGAGCCAGTCACTAATGCACTGTGCGGAGACAGCCCAGGGCCTCACATTTTTTCCTCATCTTTATCCCCATTGACATAAAGTTCTCTGCCCCACGGCTCCCTCATTATTGATCAGTTCTCTCCCGCCCATGAGGCCGCGGCTGAGGGGAGCTGTTAAGGAGGCCATGGACCAGGATGGGAGAAGTGGGTGTCCAGTGGGAGGGAAAGAGAGAAGGTCAGCTAGGCACTGTGCTCCAGGTATACCCTCCTCAGACCACTGCCCATCCAGCCAGAGGGCTGTGAGGTCTCTGCCCCCCCCAATCCCCATGGTAGGCTTTGGCCTTCCTAGGAGACAATGATAGACACTGACCACCCATGTCCCGTTTCTCCCACCTCCGTGGAGCCTTGTCTGAAAACTTGATCCCTTTGTATATAGAAGGGAGTTGAGGATTACTCATGTATTCACTCAACTCCTTCCAGGTGCTGGGCAGAGCCTACAGATCTAAGAAGCAAGATCTTCCGTACCCCCCAGAGAAAACAAGGGGGCTAGACCCCCAACAAGATGGGGGCTTTGATGGCAGTAAAGTAGAGAACTTACCCTGGCTTGGGGGAGTCAGGAGAGGCGGGGTGGGGGTGGGGGGTGAACAGGACTGTTCCACTGAGGGAACATAGAAGGGCAAGGTTTGCAGGCTTTGGTGGGAGAGATCTGCAGTGTTCTAGGTTAGTGTGGCTGGGGTGGTAGTTTGAGGGGGAATGTAAAAGATGAAGCATCATTCTAAGTCTCAGTGGATCACTAAATAGTTAATGTGCCAGGCATTGGAACTGGGAAGTCAGTGAGTCCAGAACCCAAAGGCCTTCACAGGAGTTGCAACTTTTCCTTGGGGCAACTGGGAGCTATTAAAGGGTTCTAAGCTGGAGAGTGACATGACCAGATTTGCATTTTAGAAAGATCACTCTGGTTGCCTTGTAGGAAGTGGACCGGAGGGGCAGGAGTGGAAGCCGGGCTAGATAAGATATTCTTGATACCGGTCCACGCAAGAGACGATAGTAGCTTGGAATGGGAGTGGGTGCAGAGGGCAGGAGGGATGGATTTCTTGGAGGTGGAACAGTCGGGATTTGTGAGTGTTTTTAAGTGCTGGTGAGGGTCTAGGGGGGGTCAAGGATGATTACAGTTTTCCCTTTGGATGGCTAGGGGTCACGTGGAGCCCTTCTCTGAACTAGGGAACATAGCAGGGACAATGACGACACCCCCACTCCCTGTCCCCCAGCTGGCTGCTCACAGAGGGGGCAGGTGGAACCCAGGTCTCGGGGGTGTCCCTGCCTCATTGCTCCCTGACTTCATCCTGACTTTCCCCCTTCCATTCTGGGGTTGGATGCTGGTGCAGCAGTAACCAGAACGCTTGTCTGTCCCTCCACCAGATCTGAAGCCGTGGGTCTTTAACTTCACCTACCCTGGAGCCCGAGATTTCTCCCAGCTTGCTCTGGATCCCTCCAGGAACCAACTCATCGTGGGAGCCAGGTAATGAGGTGTAGGAGGGTTGGGGCCACGGGTGGCAGTGTGCTTAGAACTGGCCGGAGGGAATATTATTTAGGATGAGCCCACTATGGGCAGACCCTTGTCTTGGGCCCGGGTTCCTCTCTGCCAGACCCTTTCTGTATCCGAATGTCTATCTCCCACAAAAGGAAGCATTAGCTGGAGCAAGGGCGGGGAGTGGGGGCGGTGAGCTCTAGACCTCTAGATCTCAGCAAGCCATATTCCTTCATGGCTGGTAGTTACTGAGAGCAGAACACCTGCTGGCCACCTTCTACCCCCTGTCCCTACCCTGCTGCCAGGACTGCCCAGTCAACGGCCTGCCTGGGAGCTCCATGCAGAGAAGGTGCCCAGGAGCCCCCTGCTGGCTGGCTGGCCGCCTGCACCGGGGATGCTGGACTCAGGCCGCCAACTTCTCCTGTGAAGCCCTTCACTTCCCTCTGTGTTGTCTGATCTTGTTGAACCCCACTGTTCTGGATCTAGGGAGGCCTTGTGGAGACGTTATGGAGTGGAACAGAAGGAGATAGTTCTCACAAAATCATGGACCATCAACTCTAGTAGGGAAGGGAGCTTAGAGATGTTTACTCCAGTGGGTCTCAAAGAGTGGTCCCTGGACCAGCAGGACCAACAACACCTGGGAACTTGTTAGAAATGCAGACTCTTGGGTTCCACCCCAAGCCTGCTGAATCCGAAGCTCTGGCGGTGGGGCCAGCAATGTGGTTTAGTCAGCCCTCCAGGTGAGTGTGGTGACTCTCAGGTTTGAAAATCACTAGTCTAATCCAACTGCCCTGGACTTAAACATGAAGAGGCAAGGGACAGGAGAGGGGGAGGGGAGCTTCCCAAGATCACTTAACAAGATGACAACAGAGTACCATATATGCAGTAAAGCACCTACAGCATGGAGTAAATGAGGCATGTAATAAATCACCTCATCTTCACATTCGCCCCAGGCAGGGCGGTCTGCGATTATTCCCATTGTATGGACTAGTAAGCTGAGGCTCAGAAGGTTCAGGCCACCCGCCTGTGTTCACAGGGCTCTTTCTCATCCACTCTGGGGCTTCCGCACATGGGGAGCTCCACCGTGAGCCTGGCTGTGCCCTCAGAGACAGGAAAAGTCAGGCCTGCCCTTGGTCCATTGCAGCCCGCACAGCAAATGAAGTGAGTCCTCAGTTTCTTCTCCCCCTTTCTCTAGGTCACTTTCCTTCCTCCTTTTCTTCTTCCAGACATTTCCCCCATTCTTTCTGACCCCCTGGGTCTCTGGAATTCAGGCTGGGGATATTTTTCATTCCTGTATACCTGCCTTGTTCCATAAGGGATTTAGGGGCGGGTCAGGCTGGGGAGATTTCTCTCTGTTCTCATCTCCCAGAAGAGCAGACTGCAATGCTGTGATGAATGATTTTTGATGGGATAAAAATTAATAAAGTGATGCAATGTTTCCCCTAATTTTTTAAAGCTGTGAGCAGATGCCTGCATTACCTGAGCAGGCAGCTGGGGCAGAGCCCGAGCCCATCTGTCCTCAGGCCAGGAGGGAGGGGGCGGGGAAGCTCTGCAGGGCAGGGGCTGGGGAGGTCCAGCAGAGGCCTAGAGCCAAGGTCACTCCGTGAGGCCTGCCCAGCCCCAGGATAGCAAAGAAGCTAAGTGGAGGCTGGGCCTGGCACCAGAGCTGGGGAAGAGAAGCCTTCAGGCTGGGGTGTCTCCTTCAGGCCCCTGGATTCATTCAGCAGGGCCCCCCTTCTCCTGCTGGCCCACTCCACAACCTTTCTCCTCAGTGCTCTTCTCAGTAGAGAAGAGCCAGAAAGTTCTAAAGCACTTATTCCTAAACACCTCAGGAACCAAAAGAGAAATGGCCAAAAGAAGATATTAGAAGGAAAGAAAGAAAATTCTTAGGGAAATCCAAGACTTTGGATTTGGATCTGCTTGACATTAATAAAGCCTCTTAAGATGCATCACACAATTCCCCTGTCTCCACAGGCCTGTGAAATGAGAAAGACAGGCATTCCGTTTCTCCATTTCACAGATGCAGACACTGAAGCTCCCAGAAGGTCCCCAGCAGGTAGCCGAGCTGGAATTCTCCCTGCCTCTGCTGCAGGGTCTACTCCGTGAGCCTACAGTCACTTCTGCATGGCATGCTGACCAGTGGTCCTGTTGCCCTCAAAGTCCATGCCTAGTCACAGTGGCCTTGTAGCTCCAGAGTCCAGGCAAAGCGGTGTCCTCCCCACCCGCCACTGTGAGTGCCCGAGGGGTGGTTAACAGATCACCACTGTTATCTAAGGGCTTTCAAACATTAACGTTGTTATTTTTAGAGCAGTTCTAGGTTCACAACAAACTTGACAGGAAGGTACAGATGTTTCCCACATACCTCCCGCTCCCACGCATGCATAGCCTCCCCCACCAGAGGGGTCCATTTGTTGCAATTAAAGAAGCACGCTGACACATCATTATCACCCAAAGTCTGTAGTCAACATCATGGTCTCTTGGTCTACATTCTGTGGGTTTGCACAAAGGTATAATGATATGTACCACCATTACGGTGTCATACAGAGTAGTTACTGCCCTAAAAATCCTCCGTGCTCCACCTGCTCATCCTCCCACACCACAAGCACTGATCTTTCCATAGTTTTGCCTTTTCCGGAATATCATATAGTTGGAATCATACAGTATGTAGCCTTTTCAGATTGGCTTCTTTCACTTAGTATTATGCATCTAAGGTTGCTCCAGGTCTTCATGGCTTGATAGCTCACTTCTTTTTTGCTCTGAGGAATATTCTATTACCTGGATACAGTTTATTTATCCGCTCACCTGCTGAAAGGCCTCTTGGTTGCTTCCAAGTTTGGGCAATTGTGAATAAAGCTGCTATAAACATATGTGCAGGTTTTTGTGTGGACCTCTTTCCTTATTTAAGGTTTTTGAGCAGCCGGCTGATGTGATGGAAACAGCGTTTGAGGCAGATGAAGCTGGCAGCCCTGTGTGGGCTGGATGGTGCAGGACAGGAATCGGGAGGGGACGGAGGCGGTGATTTGGGCAAGAGGAGACACGGTGGTCCAGGGAGTGGCCGTGGGAAGGGCAGATCCAGGGTCCCTGCAGGAGGGACTGCAGGAGATGAGGAGGCAGACAGGACTTGGAGGGGCCCGAGGCGCCGTGTCGGGAGAGATGGCTGGCCTGTCTGAGGACCGGAGTGGGTCAAGGTGGAAGGAAGGAGATGGCTTGTTTAGGTTCCTGCAGGAGCCTCCATGAGGCTTCAAGTTTACCAGAAGTGGGCTCCCTGGCGGGGAAGATGGTGGTGGGGCTGGTCCTGCCAGCACAGCTGGGGGAGGGGGGGCAGAGACAGTGTGGGCTTCGGAAGTAGACAAGTCCACCGCTTAATCCCAACCCCTTCACCTACTGTCTCTGTGACTCGGACATTGATCCCACCTGTTTCCTCATCTGTAAATGAAGTTTTCTCTCTCTACTCCCGGGGTTGCTGGAAGGTTAAAAGAGCCAGTGGAGATGAAGCTCTCCCTGGGTTGGCCCACCATAGGCCCTCCACAGTCTGCACCCAGCCCCCCACAAAGCAGGAGCCAGGAAGCTGCTTCCTGGGGACCTGCCTGCAGAGCCAGCTTGACTTATGATTTTCGTCTCTGTTTTCACAGGAACTACCTCTTCAGACTCAGCCTTGCCAATGTTTCCCTCCTTCAGGTACATTTGCCTGCCTTCCCTCCCCTCCCCTCCCCTCCGCTCCCCTCCCCTTCCCTTTCCTGTGATTTCCCTGGTATTTGGGAGCTGGGGCTGGGGTAACACAGGAAGCAAGATTCAGAATTCAGCCCTTAGGGGCAAAACCAGGAGCCCCATGGGCATGGACTCAGGCTGGCTTCCAGGTAGCTGCTGGGAAGGTAGCTGCAGGTGGGGTTGTGGTCACATAAACACGGAGGCACACACAGGGCGAACTGCATCATGCAGACGAACTGCACGATGCAGGAGGGAAGGAGCACCCGGGTGCGGGTGACCAGCTGGCCCTGTTTGCCTGTGAATGAGGGGTCCCAGGGTATAGGAATTATGGTGCTAAATCTGGGACAGTACTGGGCAAACTGGAATGGTTGGTCCTTCTAAGTCCTACACGGAGGTCTGAGTTTTGGCCTCAAGAGAAAGGGTATCCTTGGTTCCTTTCTTAGCTTGGCCTGAGTGATCCCATTCTAACTCAGCATTTTCACTGAGCTGTGATTGATTTATTATCTGCTGCCAAGAAGGATTCCCCAAGCATAATTCCCTAAGTGCTCTGGGAGGCATTTTAATGGGACTCCTTGATCCAGAACATTTATCCCAGATTGAGAAACAGATGCCAAACCACCTCTGCAGAGGCAGAACATTCTAGAGAAAAGAAGTCCATCTCTTCCTCAGTGAGGGGAAAGACTCAGTTCTTGTGTCTGGGAGGCTTCTGTGCTTATTGCATCGGAACTGGGGAGTGGGGGGGGGTGCTATAAGACAAGCAGAGGCTCTGCCCTCTAGAGCTCACAGTGTAGCCAAGACAAGACGATGAGTGCTGCATCGGACCTTAGTACAGAACAGTTAAAGGAGGTGGTCAGGCGCTAGGCTGTTTGGTGTAGGATTTCACTGCAAAGGGCATTTGGGGAAGGGGACACCTCCTTAGTGAGCTGTTGTGACATTCTGGTCTGATTTCTTCTAGCTGCACCTGGGTGTATATCCACAGGGACCATTGCAGCTGGTTGCCAGAGGGGAGGTATAAGGGAGCAGAAAAGTTCCGACCATCAGAAGGGAGGGGCCCAGAGGAACTAGAATAAATTGAAAGGAAAATGCCATTCATCTGTTTATGAGTCTATCTATCCTCCAGTCCTTACCTTAAGCAGCCAACCTGCCATCCATTCATCCAACCACCCACCCAATAAACATTTATTGAGTACCCCGGAAACCTGGGTTTAGTCCCAGGCATGGTACTAGGCATTTGAGATCCAAAGGTGAATCAGGCTTAGTCACTGGCCTCAGGAATAAGCAGATAAGGTTACAAATGATTCCCTGTCCTGGATGGGATTTCTGTGGCATGGTCCTGGGGTCTGGGCTATAGCAGCATCCGGTGGACTGCCAGCTTGGTCACAAGCAGCCCATACAGAACTTACTTACCATGTGACATCCACAGAATATGAAGCCAAGATGCCAAGCACAGCAGGTCAGGGCCTGGAGGAAGTTGGTGCAGAGGTGGTTGGTTCAAAGTGGCTGGGAGGGAGTGGATCCAGGGGCCCTACCCTGAGCTCAGGTAGTTGGCTTCCTTGGTTCCCAAGGTCTGCAAATGAAAGTCTTCTAGGAGCAGTAAAGTGGTCAAAGAGAGAAGGAGAAACGGATGCACAGAAATAAAAGCAATGCGGTGGGAAGCATGCAGGCAGGGTGAATGCTAGGTTCACCAATGGCCCAGAGGCGCTAGGAACCCATCAGGCTCCGCTTGGTCAGCAAAGACTTCTCAGAAAGCTATCCTTGGGCTGGAGCTCGAAGGATGGGGGTTTGCCAGGCAGCTGACGGGGGAACACAAATGTGTGAGATAGCATGGAGTGCTGAGGGGCCCAGTGTGCAGGATCATGGGGTGTGAGTGGGAAAGGAGAGGGAGGTGAGGCCTGGGGAAAGAGAGGGTCCATACTGCAGAAAGTCTTCACTGCTGAGCAGAGGAGTCTATATTTTATTTTGAAGGCAATGGGGGTCACTAAAGGGTTTTAAACAGAGAAGTGGCATGATCAGTTTTGGCGTTTAGATCACCTGGCCTGGTGCAGGGAATGGATTAGTGGAGGAGCCGGTTAGGGGGCAACTGCAATAGCCCAGGTGAGTGGTGGGGAAAATTGAACTACGGCAGTGGAATGGGATGGAGAGAAGGAGAAAGATCTTCAGGGGACAGAAACACACAGGGTCACAACATCAAACAACTCCAGGGCACACCTGGCATGGTCTTCTGCATGAAGGTGACCCCTAGAGTTGGGGAAGTTAGCAGCCCTGGAGGGCTTAGCCAAAGCCTTGGCCCCCAGTGGTGCCATCTAGGTTTCTGCCTTCCAGAGCTGGGTAGCATAAATCAGGTTGGGAATGGAGCTAGCCTGGCTCATGGCAGTGGTTCACCCTTGGTTGCCCACTAGAATTACCAGGAGATATTTAAAAAACACTGATGCCTGGGTCCCACCCTCAGAGATTCTGACTTGCTTGTCAGGGTACAGCTGGGCACTGGGATTTTCAAATCACAGGTGATTCCAGTGTGCAGCCAGATTTAGGAACCGCTGCTGTAGGAGCTCAGTATCGTTTCTGTAGGTGTTGCCCAGCTGGTTTGGCATCCCAGGTGTCCTTGACAACTGGCCCGCTGGTCCCAGGTCCCACACCTGATCAGATGTTAGGACTCTCTGGCTTGCTGATGAGGCCTGGCATTGGGCTTATCCCTCTCTGTGTTGATCTGGCCTCAGCCCTAGGAAGATATCTTAATGCCACCCCCGTAACTCACACTGGGGGCTCACACTGGGGGCGGGGGCTCAACTGCAGCACCTTCTCTGAAGGGCGCTGCAAATCAGCCACAAGTGGACCAGGAATTGGTTTTACCACCTTCCCAGGGTGTCTCTTTGGGGCCTGAGCTCAGGAGTCCAGAGTGGATTCTCCACGACAGAAATAAGGAGAGGAATAAATACTTTTCATGCCCACATCCCCACTGTAGTGGGGACCATCTGGCCACAAAGCGGAGAGAGGGAGAGAAGTTGGAGTGGGCTGTCTAGCATTCCCTGGAGAGGCTGGGGGTGAACCCCGGCCTCCAGTCCCCTGGTCTGTCATCTGGCCCGGTGAAAAAGCCGTGACTTTTGACCACAGAAGCCTGACCTCAGCAAGTGCCCTTCCATTGCCCTCTCTGGGACTTTGGGTCTCTGCTTATAAGCTTTCAGTCTGCAGCATCTGCTATCACAAGTGGCTCAGGGCAACCGAGTGCTAAAATGGAGCTGACCACTGCCCATACCACAGGAGGAGGTAGGGCCCAGCCCCCCACCCCCACCCCAGCTTCCTCTATTCTCCATACTGCCTGCGGTATGCATGGTTCCAACTCTCCTTTACAGCCAACTGATCCTCCCACTGGCCCCAAGGTAGGATTTAACCAAACTTAAAGCTCAATGCTTTATTGATAATTTAAACAATTAAAGAATAATCTAAATACAGTTTATGCAAACCAGCGTCCATTAAAAGGACTTTTAAGTACCTAACCCCTATTAAACAATTTATATAAACGACTATTCCTTCAGGAAAATCGAAATGCTGAGCCTCCTCCCCAATTCTCCAAGCACTAAAGGGAAGGGAGATGTGTGAAGCAGCACAGAGGGCCGTGTGTGTGTGTGTTTGTATGTGTGTGTGTGTTTACTCATGCTTGTAGACAGGGAAGGGAAGTCAAATCAGCTCATCTGTGATGGCTATTTATCAGTGTAACTTAAACTGGTTTGGGGAAAGAAAAGGTGACCAGTGGTCAAGAGTGTCAGGGGGATGCTGTGTGATGAGCTAACTTGGATTTGGCAATTTTCTGACCTTTGCCAGAGAGCTTCCAGGGGATGAGGTGACTAGAGACCTAACTGCAATGGATTTATGATCTTGGGCTACCAGATGTCCTGAAAGTGCAGAAACACAGACTGTTCTGCACATACGAGTCAGGGCACGTGTGGGGCTTTGTTGGGCCTTGGCAGACAATGAAACTGATTCTGAGCTCTCTTCTAGTTATCTCTACATTCTCCAAGCTAGTCTGACGACTCTCAAGTTATTTGAAATCTAACCTCTGCTGAATGGTGGACTTAATGCTCAGAAGATGTTTTAGTGTTGAGCCATTGTCACTGGCATCCAGGGGAGGTGCTGAGTCTGCAAGGAGATTTCTCCAGTTCCTGGCCAACTCACCTGTTCTCTCCCATAGCAGAAAACCATGCAGTTTCTAGAGATTGCCATACTGGAATTTCTGGAACAGTCCTAGTTTAAAGCTTTATGCATGGCAGATTGATTGATCATACATGTCTATCTCCACTTCTTCACAAAAACCCACTAAAATGACAGTGAGGAATTTTTAAAGGTTCAGATCCGCAGTGGCAGAGAGACATCAATGGAGAAGAGATTAAACACATTTTAGGGAGATGGAACGTGGATGGACAGTCATAACTGATTTAGCAGAGCAGAACAGTTTACAGAGGAAAATATGCCAGAGAAGTAAGCTGAACCCCCCCGAAGGGCTCAGAAATTGGGATGTTAGGTATTGAGGAATGTGAGGATGGGGTATAAAGATAAGGGGGAAATCATTGAAATTGTCTAAATTGAGAGGTTGGAATCCAGGGCTCCTATCCCATCCCACATAGCAATCCCTTCATCCATTTTACCCCTCCCCCAACAAAGGGAGACTAAGACCCTTTCTCTAAAGAGCTAACTGGTGAGTCTCCAAATTTAAGACTCCAAGAAAGCTAAAGGACACTAACGGGGTATGGGGCTAAAACAGTGTTTCTCTTCTTTCTCTCTCTGTGTGATTTATTTATTGAAGAAACCTGGTCATTTATCCTATAGTCTGGATTTTGCTGATTGCAATCCAAGTGGTACATTTTACCATTTTCCTCTATTCTCTGCATCATCTGTAAATTGATTGCTAGATCTAAAGACTTTATTCAGTTTAGATTCCAACAAGATTGCTCACTTCAAGGGATTATTGTGTACTT